ATAAAATTTTCTTTAATTTTAAAAAGAAAAAAATTTGCTATTAATTTTATATATAATTTATGAGTATTATACTCTACCCTTAATGATATATGAACACCATGATAAAAGTATGGCACGTACTGCTGTTAGATCATTGAGACAAGCAAGAGAACAAAATAATACAGCCATGTCTATTATTTCATCAGATTCTAGAGTTTCAAGTAATAATACACGAATGTCAGAAGCTTCCTCAATCCCATCACATGCAAGTGAAATTACATATTCTAAGAAAAAAAAAAAAATTATTCACTTGATGCATATGTTACTCGCCCCTTATCAACTAGCCAAAAGCATGAATTTAATCGTCGTCTCCTACGCTTGGTGGTTCAAATGGGCTCTTATTTCGATTTATTGAATGTATTACGCTTCGTCAATTTGTTGATTTCTTTAACCCAACTATTAAAATTCCAAGCCGCAAAACACTAAGCACTAAAATTCTTGTTGAGTATACAGAAAAGTTAAAAAAAGCCAAAGTTTCTATTCTCTCTAAATCACAAGAACCAGTTACAATTATGTTTGATGGTTGGAAGAATGTGCATTGTCAAGAAATTCTGGGTGCCATTATTCTCTCTATATCAAATCAGCTATATATATGGAGTACTGAAGATATTAGCAATTGTAGCCAAAAAACTTCTGATGTATTAAATACAATTCATACTTTTTTTGAGCATGCCAATGATCAGAATCTTAATGTAGTAGCCATGGTTACAGATAGTGCATTAGTATATGCTTCTGCACAGTATGTATATATTGTAAAATAAAAAAAAAGTTAATATTATATTATAAAGTAATATAACTATTTATTTACCAGGTGCAAAATACGATTACAAAAACGTGATATTGTTTTTCTCCCATACTTTGCACACCAGGCCAACCTGTGTGTTGGTGATATCTTTAAAATTTCAACTGAATATAGTTAAGCAATGAAGAATACCATTGGAATCACATCATATTTTACTGATAAACGGCATTTAAAGGCAATATCATTACTTCGTGATGAGCAGCAGAGAGTTTACAAAACCATATATAGCTTTATGCGTCCAGTAACCACCCGCTGGAATTCTTATTATTATTGCTTCGCAATGCTCTTAAGAAGCAAACGTGCTTTACAGTCTTATTCAATCCTGTATCCAAATACTTTTGAATTATTAGATAAATCTCGATCTTCTATTGATAGCCCTCAATTTTGAACATACCTTGATGAATTAATAAAACACCTTCTGCCTTTTGTTAGCATTCTAAACTATCTTCAGCATAATGCGGCTAATCTTTTTGATATTGTATATGTATTTGGATATGTAGCACAACAGTATGAAAATGATGTTAATGGATTTGGTTATAAAATACAACAAAAACTTGAAAAAAGATGGGCGGAATGGGAACAACCTCTCCTTTTATTGGCAATTATATTTTACCTACAATATCGTATTCAAGCCTTGTCTGATATTAAATTTTTTTCTCTTAAACGAATAATGAGTTAGATTAACTATTATTATGAAATGTGGTTTGGTGTAAAACCAAAGCATGTCGCACTGGAACTAACTGAATATTATATGA